AAAAAAAAAAAAAGAAAAGAGGAAAAAATATATTTTTTTCCCTTATATTCGTTATAATTTATTCACCCATAGTTTTGACAGAGTGTTCGAGTGAGCTTCCGTTTGCGCAATCCGAATCTTGCAGTAACATTTAACTCCGAACGAAGCGAACTTATTATTTATGCAGAGAACTCGATATTACGTTAAGGTTCGAGCTCTCGCTTTTAATGGCGCTATTGTTTGATTCCTTCCAGATACGTGCCTCCCTTTTTTTTCTCTTCTCTCGACTCGTGATGAACGTGTTCACTTATCTCTTCCTTCGGCGTTATGTAACACCGAAAGGAAAGAATGGCGGGCAACCGAGAAAAACCGAGAAAGCGAGAGAGAAGAGTGTTTCGATTCGCCAAACGATGAACCATTTCAGGTTGGTCGAGGAGGATCGATTCTCAGCATAACGAGAGAGCAACTTTCTACTCACGGTACTCGTATAAAGTTCAGCTCCACGTTTGTAATTTGCGGTTTGCTGCGCGCGCAGCAATCAGATCGGTAACGTGGACCGCTAAACGATCTTACCCGAGAAGAGCATCGGCTATTCTCGTCCTTTCGTTTGTGTGAAAACTGAAATGGCGGAACGGCTTTCTAATGTATCACGTGGAAAGAAAGAAATTAGAAGATTATAGTGAATTGCATTTTCTCGTGTTTTTGTTCTCGAAACAAGAATGGAAATTAAAAATTGTATTCAATAAAGAACATACGTGGGACGTAACGAGCGATTTAGAACGATAAGAATAATTTTTTTGAAAGAAGGTTATGTTTGAGATAAGATTAATAAGATAATAAGTGATGAATGTAAATGAATGTAAATGAAATCAAGCTCGAATTGTCAAATTGGAAAATATATAGATTCATGTGTTGAATAATACGATATTTTATCCATGGATAAATAAAGGTAAAGATAAACTCTTGATAGTAGACGTACGTATGTCTGTTTGTTCATTGAAACAAAATCTTGATTGATTGATTGAATCCACTTTTTTAAACGTATATTTATCTATTATATTTATTAGTGACTTCTATTATTTGAATTATTTATGTATCGATTCAAATCAATAAATCTTTATTGTATAAATGGATTTAATAAGAATTTATTTAATCGAGCACAGATTAAAATTTCATTTCAGCAAAGTTTCAAAGTACTTCAATTTCAATCTCTTTGATTAATCATATACATTTGCATCGATTTATCAGAATTTTATTTTAAAAAAATAGGAGAAAAATGATAGAGATAGATGACAAATTTCTGCGAGGATTCGATGAATGAATACGCGAGAGTGATATTATTCACGTTATCTCGAGCGTGTCTATATAATTTCTCATTTACACAATGGTGCACGAACGATGCATTTGCACCGTGTTGCAGCAATGCAACTCTACTTTAACATATCGATTCACGTACGTCGAAAGTTTCAGAAGGCCACGGCAATACGATTGAACGAGCAAAGCCTCTAAAAGAGACGAGAACTTTTACACGAATTTAAACTTTCATCAAGGTTACGCATATTATTAATTTTTCTAGTAAGGTTCAAATATATTGGTGAAGCCGAAGTATGGAGAATGTTTTTATGCATTCATGAGAAATACGAATATACAAAAATGGATATCTTTGAAAGAGTTTATTTTATCGATTCGCAACGAATGTATGATTATTCTCAATGCCATGGTATACCTGCACGTGCATAACCTAACAGCCATGAATAAAATAACTTTCATGATATAATTAAATGTAGATAGATGATATAACAAACACGAACTTTTCCCTTCTCTACTCTCTTATACAATACGACTAGCAACGAATTCTGATACGCACATTTCTCCAGGCATCGCATGACTTCACTGCTTCCCACTGCATTTCGTATCAAAATAAAAATAAATTTGATTACATTTAAAGAGAGATGTTATTTTATAACATCAAACAACATTTCAAACTTTTGAACCCTGCAATTAATTACCACGTAACGAGCCTGTCTCATCAATATCACTTACCACAAAATAAATTTTTTTTAAATTTATATTATTATATTATAATAAATTTAATTACATTTGCTGTCCAATGGGTCAATCCAAATTTGTTCGTTTTTCGATAGAAGGAAGAGGATCCCGTCGTTTTGATGAACAACGAACCGATCAAAGGTCGATCTTCGATCGGTGTTAATGAAATTAGCGGGCGATGGCCGAGGGATAAGGCGCTGTGCAGAGCGGAAAACGCGCGGAAGAGTCGGTCCAGCCTGATACCTGATATCGGTATTAACTCGACCATAAAGCATTCCGCAGGCCCCGTCCACAAAGTGATTGCGATTGCGCCTCGGGCATTACAACGCGCAGATTTATGAACAGGGGTTTCCTACGAACGTAAGTCAAATCCCCTCGGGACCCGTTCAACAGAAAATCGTTTGCACATGTGTTGCTCGAGGCACGCATCCCCGAGAAACAGTGCACGTTGTATGCTCACAGTGTCTGTCTTATTTTAGATTATAATATAGAATAGATATAGAATATTTTTTAATGCAATTTGAAATTTACTATTTTCAATTTTTCTTCCTAAATTCTATTGTACGCTCTTATATCACTTGACAAATTTCATTTCTTTTTAGATGAGGATAAGATGGTATGTATATGTGTGTGTATGTGTTATGACTGGTTTATTTATTGATTCGCAGAAATATATTATGTTGCCTCGCGTTTAAATTATGTTTCATTTATACTTAAATTAGTAAATTGAGAATATTATATTTCAGAAAAGTTGGGAAGGAGATAAGATAAGGGTTTCACTTGTAAAAGAACAAAGGGAGTAATGATATATGTATATGTATAAGAGATATATGTAAGCGATGAAAAATGGTAATGAAGCGGATCTAAAGAGATTTCAAGATTCTGCCGAGAGGATTCCGATTCAAATTGCCAGAATCCTTCGAATCTGGAGGGTGTTGGAGACGTTACAAAATGCGTTCCGCAATGCAGACACCGCGGAACCTTTGTACAACTCGATGCCAGCTGTGCGGAGTGCCAAGTAAAAACTGAATATTTGTCGCCTTAATATGTCCAATAAATATGCTTCAAATTGTGAGAAAAGACGCAGCAAATGAAAAGCAAAGGGAATATTTGATTTATCATGTTCAAAATAATTTTAGATAAAATGAACGGATATTTTTAATTTTATCAAGAATTATCATTAAAATATTTACAATATTTCATTTATGCTACTGAAATTTACGAAATCTTTGATCAGTTGCCAAATAAAAGCTAAAAAATCACTATACGTTTTCAAAAATCAAAATTTATTCAATCAATATATTTCCGAAAAATCATAGAAAAAAATAAATATATAATACGTAATTACAACAAATAGAATATTTAAATCATCAAAATACTTAATATCATGTTTACCTTGCTAAAATAAAAACTCTATTTAATAGAAAAAAAAAATCACTATACCAAAAACCAATATTTTCTTTCTATTTCAAAATGACAACAACAGCCAAAAACAGATTCGAACCAACATGAAAATATACAAAACTGCAAGGAAAAACTTACTTAACGAAATTTTCGACCAATCGCGAAATAAATTGGAAAAAAATCGCAACGTAGATTTGAAAAAAAAATCAGGGAAAAGCAGATTTTCTTCTATTTCACCGCGAATAACAGGAATATCTGGACAATTGGTAACCCCCGCGGGGGTTAAGCCGCGGCTCGCAATAACCGATCGACGCACAAACACAATCCCACCTCTCTCAATCGCCCGTTTCATTTGCAAATATACATACTTCCGCATGCTGGCCGGTAATGGCCGTTCGAAATTGCTCGATCTCAATAAAATGGCCACGAAACTTAGCGAACACTGTATATACACGGCGGTGCACCAATACCAGCGCAGAGAGGGACATGTGTGCATCGATACAGGTGAGCGCACACACGCACGCGAATATCTCGTTGCAATTTTACAGGAACTCGACCATCCTAGGGAATTTATATTTCTCGTTATCTTTCCCGCGTGCATGCGCATGTGTGCCGCGCATACATCGCAGCGTGCTACTCCGTCGGGACAATTTTCGTGTGGAAAAGTTAACGTTTGTGGCACGCCAGCCATGGAAACGAGGAATATTTCATTCTGGAAGATCGTTTGCTTCGTTTCTGGTGTCTTGACTACCTCTGCTGTGGAAGACGAATAGGAACGTTGCGTCTCTTGGTCGAACGAAATTGGACACGTAAGTTTTCGTGTGCACGTTTAGGTTAGGTGGTCGCGTTAAATAATAATCTGTCCGTTTACTGCACAATGATTGATATTATAGATGCTTAATGTTTTCGAAATTTCTAGAATCGTTTTTCTTTTATCATTTATCATATATCGAGAATTTTCTTCGATTGAGCACGTTATAAGCACAAAATTTCAAGAACGTTATTTTTCGTAACGGTTTGAAGTTCTTTCGAAAATTCATATCTATCCATCGTACGCAATCAACGTTCTAAATCTGATTTCAACTTCTGTTGCGGAGCTTTTTTTTTGTTATAAATCGAAATGCTTCTTCAAACTTTTTTATCCGGAAAATAACATCGTTGATAGACCAATTCGTTCCTGTATTAGAGAAAGGAATAATCTCTACATTCGAATCTCGAGATCAAATTAATCAAAAGTAGAAAAACTTGTAAAAAAAAAACATGGTTTATCGCGAAATCTTGTAAAGTTTCGTATTTGTAGGATTACGTGACAGAAGTCAAAAGCGTACATTTGAAAATCAGATTTCTAACTCCGTTTCAGAGAATCCTTCCTTTCAATTCTGGAGGAAGCTTCCCCATGATATCTTCGTGGAAGATTCACAAAGATCGAATCATCAATTCCAGGAATGGAATTACCCCAAAAATTTAAGTCGAAGATCAAGGATATCGAGTTCCATTAACTCTGAAAAGGCTAAGCGAGGATTCGTCCAAGGTATTAATTAAAAAATATTTAAATCTTATCATTCGTGCACGTATTTGGAATATCCAATTAAAATACGATCTCTTATCTATATTAAAGAAAAATGGTACGTACGAATACTTCCCAAATGATAATAGAAATAATACAATTTTTCTTTTTATTTCCAATTAAATTATTCGTATAATTTTTATTTATTTAGAAATTTAGAAAACTATTTTGTATTAAATATAAAAAAAAGAATGGCAAAGTTAAATAGTCAAATTAATCTTATACGTGATGACTTTTCTGAGATTCTTTCCGATCCAATGTTAATCTCCGGATTTTAAGCGTAACACAACGCCCCTTTTAGTTGCATGCACGACGAATCTCGTCATCGATCGGTCGTACATATTAACATTCGATCTCCTCTCGATCCGGTCTCTCCCATCTCCCTCTGCTCTTCCTTATCCTCGCTTTTTTCTCTTTCCCCGCGGTGCATTGATCCCAGAGATCGGAGTGTAATTAACTCGTTATATCTATCCTTTGCAACCCAACATTACGTAACGCTTCTATCTTTCCTTCCCTCTTCCTCCTTTCGCCCCCTCCTTCCATTTTAATTTCTCTTCCTCCACTTTTTTTTTTTGGATTCATTCCTCCTTTTTCTATCGGATAAGATAGATATACCATATTTTTTTTCTTTTTTTCTTTTTACAACTTGTTGTTCTTTCGATTTCACGCGTTTCAAACGAGGTTTTTACGTTTTAGCGATGGGATCGAGTTGGTCGCGAGCGAGATTTGAACATTGACAGAGGAATGTATTGCTATAAATTTAAATCTGAACTGTTAGTTCAGAAGTGAAAAAGAAGTTTTAAATGGGATATAACATTGATGGAAAATAGATAAATAGATTGTATTTTGTATTAAAAATATTGAAATTTATCTTCTTGACTATCTTTAAAATTCTTGCACATTATAATTGTAAAATAATTATATATGTGTAGAATAACATTATTTTTCTTTAATTTCTTTAAAAACATGTTATATTTTCATAAATATTGTTCGTGGGTAGTTAGAAATGGGAAAATTAAAATGAAATTAGAGGAAATTTTAATTATTATTTATAATTCTTTTATGTTTGTTGTTTAAAAATTTAATCGAATGTCTTTCTGTTTTCTTTTCTTTTATACGATATTCAAACATTATTTATAACAGGTTCTAAGTATCAAAGTATATTAGTACAAGTAGATAATTCTGAGATTCTACGAGGACGAGATTACTTATTAATAATATTCAAATTTTATGCACTGAATTTTTTTACATTGCATGTACTTTAGATTTATATTGAACTTAATCCTCATACTACTCTTACGGATGAAAGAAAATTTCCTCGCGTTTTTCCTTTTACTTTTTTCCAGATAATTCGAGGGACGGATGTTCTAAATCGAGGAGTTTTTTTTAAGATGAACGACCTTCTCTTTAACTCAATAACACTTCGTTTGATCCCTTTCGACATGATCTGTTGCTTCATGATTTTCGTTTTGCACTTGATTGACGAAAGAAAGGGAAACACTGATTATTGTTGGACATATCTTCGATCAAAATGTTTCTTCAAAGACATATTTTTTTAGTTTGATACTACAAATCTTGGTGGATTTTTCGTAAGAGAAAGTGAGAAAAACTGGAACTTTGATGATGAGATAGGGAAATGGAAGTTTAATCAAGCATTTGAGATACCTTTGAGATACCTTGGGAATATTAGATATTGGAAACTTAGAATATTCAAATTTTAAAAATTGGATATCTTCAAATATTTGAATATTTTAGATTTAATAAGATTTTCAAGACGAACGAGTTAAAAGTGATCTGAACTGAATCTGAACTGAGGATTGACTTGATCAAATAATAATTTAGTAAATTGATTCTGAAACTATTGTTTTTGAATATAAATATGAACACTAAGTTTGGAAGTGGTACTTGATTTTACGTAATAGTTTTACACCTTTCTCTCTTTCAAATAATCTCATCGAAGATTTAAGAAGGAGCAATTCAATTCGAACAAATTACTCGATCGATTAATGCATTTCAACCAGTCACCCTTTCACCTCCTAAAAGCTTTCAATCCAATCTTTTTATATTCGTTCCCTTTCAGCTCGCAAGCTCGAAAAGAGAGTTCAGATTCGGTAGAAACATTCGATCCCAAGCAATTTCCTCGAAAGGAAACACGAAACAATCGCATCGATCACGAGAATAAATTAATTCTCTTTTTCAATCAAAGAAAAATACGAGATCGATTACAAATACCTCTTTTTTTCTAAAAAAAATTTATAAACTTTTAAAAGATTAAAAGTTTCCCTCTACCTTCCTACATCCTAAATTTTTAAAATCTTCCCCCGAACAAAAAAAATATTCAAAATATCTCTAATCTTTTTCCAAATTCCTATTTCCTCTAAACCGCGTCACCGATGAGAATAAATCATCCTCTCCCATACCAGGCAAACCAGAAAATCCCCATCAAACGTGAAAAG